AAAAAAAAAAAAAATTAAGTCTTGATCCCTGGCTACAAGTGGCATCAAAATTCAGAGGAGATATTCCAATTGTTACAGAAATTTTCTTGGAGGAAAGCCTTGAATGAGGAATAGGAAAGTTTAGGGGAAGGAGAAGACATTTTAAGTGGGGAAACAACCCGGAGTCCCTAGAGTAGGAATTATTTTCTGGGACATACTGAAGATAATGGTCACATTAGGATGGAGATAAGGATGTGCAGGTAGCAATGCAGGAACATTCGCAGCAATAGATTACCAACATCTTTCTTTTTGAGACAGAGTCTTGCTTTGCTGCCCCAAGTAGAGTGTAGTGGAGTCATCATAGCTCACAGCAACCTTGAACTTCTGGGCTGATGCTATCCTCCTGCTTCAAGCCCCTGAGTAGCTAGGACTATAGGCATCCACTACAATGCCTAGCTAATTTTTCTGTTTTTAGTAGAGATGGGATCTCGCTCTTGCTCCCGCTGGTCTTGAACTCCTGAGTTCAAGTGATCCTCCTGCCTCAGTCTCCCACAGCTAGGATTATAGTCATGAACCACTGTTCCTGGCCAAGATTATCAAAGTCTTGAAGGCCAGATAGAGGAGTCTGACTTTTATAATGTGGAGTCACTTTAGGATACTAAGCAGAAAAATAACAACATAAAATCAGTATATCTAGGGAAGATTAAACACATGGTTGTATGTAGGATATTATGAAATTAATAAGGGCAAGAGACATAGGGATCAATCAGTTCAGAAGTTTTTGCAGAAGTCTAGCTAACAGAAGATGAAAGTTGAATTAGGGTGGTGGCATAGTTGAGGATTTTTTTTTTTTTTTTGAGACAGAGACTCAAGTTGTCACCCTGGATAGATAGAGTGCTGTGATGTCACAGCTCATAGCAACCTCCAACTCGGCTCAAGTGATCCTCTTGTCTCAGTTTTTCTATTTCTAGTAGAGATGGGGTCTTGCTTTTTGCTCAGGCTGATCTCGAACTCATAAGCTCAAGCAATCCACCTGCCTCAGCCTCCCAGAGTGCTAGGATTACAGGTGTGAGCCACTGCATCCAGCCCAGCATAGTTGAGTTTAAACTGAGCTATGATGCTGCCACTGCACTCTAGCCCAGGCAACAGAGCAAGACCCTGTCTTCAAAAAAAGAAAAGTAAAAAGAAAAAAGAAATGGCTAAGAAGAAGAAAAGAAATGGCTAAGGTGGACAGGGAAGAGGATTGGTCAGGCAAACAACTCTCCTTTACCTTGCTTATCTCCAGTTAAAACCCACATTTTAATTTTGGTTTTATTCAGCATGATGATTGTCTCAGGCACTCCATCTTGCAGCTTGTCTTCTATGGCAGTGGCCCCTAACAGCTTTGAAAAGAGATATCAGTGAGTGAGGAAAAGGGAGAGAGTCATAATGCTACATAACAGCTGAACTGGCACCTCAGCCTTCTCTTTAATAAGCTGGCTCTGTCCTGTAAGAGGATCCCAGTGGCATAAAACCCAGCCTCTCCACACACACAGCTTTCCAACTATATAAATTTAGGAACTCAGAACATTAAGGATTATAGAGGGAAGAGACTTGCCCAAGTCATATATCTAGCCTGTGACACTGCTAAACCATCTGTTTCTCAACACAACTTCACTTCTCCCTGGCTTCATTAATACACTTCCAAAAATGATGGTTCCCAGATGAAGGGATCTCCACATCCCACTCCAGTTTTCCTTCAACCCATAAGGCTTAAGTGTCCTTCATTTGTTTGTACTCACAGAGGCTCTCTGCAGTTTTCAAGGCTTTTCCTTATGCTATATTAAAAGAATCTTGCTTTCTTTCTATAATATCCCAACAATGCCAACCACAGCATGGGTACCAGGCCTGAGTCTGGGTAATGGACAGATGCTCGAACTACTAACTAATTTCTGCTAAGCCTCTAGAACAGTGGTTCTCAACCTTCTTAATGCCGCAACCCTTTAATACAGTTCTTCATGTTGTGGTGACCCCCAACCATAAAATTATTTTCGTTGCTACTTCATAACTGTAATTTTGCTATGGTTATGAATCGTAATGTAGATATCTGATATGCAGGGTGTATTTTCATTGGTCACAACCCACAGGTTGAGAACCGCTGCTCTAGAACAACAGTCTAGAATACTACCAAGCTGACTATGGAAGGGTATTTGGGAACTCTAAATTTCCCTCTTTGCTATCAGTAATTTCTCTCTTTTTATAGCTGAGGCAGCCTGTATCAATCTGGTCAAGAACTTTGAGATCATCCTTAACTTCAATTTTCCTTAGACCCTATAATCCAAACCATCAGCAAATTCTGTTGGCTCTACCTTTAAGAATACACAGAATCTAACCATTTCTGACCACTTCTATCTGGTCTAAACCATCACCATGTCTCACCTGTACTACTCCAGCTCCCTTCTAATTGCTTTCCCTTGCGTCTACCCTCTCCAAAACACACACATATGTGCTGACATGTGATGTCACTCCCTCTCTTCCTAGTTTTATTTTCTCCTCTAACACTTTCACCATCTGACTTACTGTATATGTTTCTTTTTGTCTGTTTTGTCTACTGCTACATGTCTAGGGCTTAGAAAACTGCCCGGCACATAGGAAGCACACAATAAATATGTCAAATGAATGGATGAATATTTTTGTCCTGATTATCCCATTTGTTAGTTCTGGGTTACCCAATCTCTGCATTATTCAGGTCCTAATTTCTCCCATATTACTCAGCTTCTATGAGCAGCTTTGGGATAAGAAACACTACCAGTAAGATAAATATTACAAATATTTTTTCATTATGGAGTCAGAAGACCCAGGATATACTGAATCAGCTTGGATTCGGTATCCAGCCTCCTTGGAGCAAAGCTATGGTACTTTCCTGTTGAGCCTGTCTATCTTCCCTCTCAAAGAAAGCCTGTATCTATTCATCCTCTGGAGGCCACTAGAAAAGCCTTTACTCAGTCTGCCAACCCCCAGTCTGTTCTTAGCTTCCTCACACTGACCATCAAGTCTTTTTCGATCTCTTCATAGACATCTGATAATCTGTCTTCCCGATTCTCCAAAGTCAGGCAGGCTTCACTGTGCTTCTTGCTCCAGGTCTGGAAGAATGCATCGTCCAACTCTCGGTAGGCCACCATGAGGGTGCGAAGGCCTTCAGTGGCATAATCCTGGAAGATGTGTGTGTGTGCACTGAGTGGGTCTGGGCTGGGGCAAGCTCAGTTAAGGAAGTGGCAGGCTGACCCCACAGGTCCCGTCTGCCTGCAGAATAGGGTTTCATCATTACTACCATGAATCTAGTTCCTAGCCGAAGCAAAAGCATCTGTGGCACTTTCTCAGCAAATGTCTTAAGAATGAGGCCGGAATGGCTGGAAGGTTGAGAGTACTTCTGAGAGATAGCTAAAAGTATCTGGCTTTTAGCTATGGTTGGAGAATATACTATGTGATTCTGGGAAAAAACAAGTCTTCTAGGTTTCTTTCTTATAAAATTGGGATAACAATTCATCCTGTACAAAGAGGATAATGATGGCTATCATAGGAGAATGAAGGGAATGACAAAGTAAAAAGAAGGAGTTGTTATAAAGAATAATAAAAATGTTACTATTTTTTATAAGCCTACATTCATTTTAATTTTCTTCTCTCCCTTCCTTTATCAAATATGCAATGAGTATTTTACACTGCACATACTTGTGTATATGCCTATAGCTCAGTGGTTCCCAACCTTCCTAATGCCGCAACCCGTTAATACAATCCACAGGGGTTGCAACCCACAGGTTGAGAACCACTGCTATAGCTGGTTGGCTCAGCTAATTACCCACAGCCAGCAGTGTTAACAAGGCCACTGCAGAAGGGCTCTCTGGGTAAGTTAGCATCTTTTGCTCCTTGGCCACTGACATATCCTAATTAACTTGCAGGAGGATACTCTTGTCATAAGGAGGGCTGAGTAACATTGTGGGTGGTTCAGGGCAAAACTCATATCCATCTAAAGATGGGTGTTCTGTGTGTTGAGTACTACACATGAACAGCAAGTCCACATGATCACCACTGTAGTGAGCTGTAAGATAAATTCACTTTGGCATTAGAAGAGCAAACAGAAATGGAATTTGCTGTTAGTTCCCTGTGCAATTCCCTGAGTGATTCTAGCTGTCAGATAAAATTATCACAAGATGTTATATGTAGGAAATGTGATCTTTTAAACCTTTGTACTGTTGGCAGCCTAAGAAGCCCCAGGAAAGATCTCAGGAGATTTCTTTCTTTCTTTCTTTCTTTTTTTTTTATTTTGAGACAGAGTCTCACTATGTCGCTCTCTGTAGAGTGTTGGGGCATCACAGCTCACAGCAACCTCAAACTCTTGGGTTTAAGCGATTCTCTTGCCTCAGTCTCCAGAGTAGCTGGGACTACAAGTGCCTGCCACAACGCCCAGCTATTTATTTATTTTTTTCATTGCAGTTGTCATTGTTGTTTAACAGGCCTGGGCTGGGCTTGAACCCGCCAGCCTTGGTGTATGTGGCTGGTGCCCTACTCACTGAGCTACGGGCGCTACCCAGGAGATTTCTTAAGAAGGAAGTGATAGCGGTAAAAACTGTTTTTTCATAGGATATTGATAAGAGGACTTGACAAGCTTGACACTATGGGACATTTCAAGACATTTTTATCACTTCAAAAAGATTCATTAATCCATTCAACAAAATAATTTAGCAGGTGTTAAAATTCTACTTACACATTTTTCTTTTATCTTAGTACTAGGATGGGAGAACTAGGAGCCAAATCTTGCCTGACACATGTTTTTGTGTGACCTGTCTCAGGGAGCCTGGAGTTGTGTTTCTGCATGAGTGGGTTGTTGGAACTTGACTCTCATAGGTTTGTCATCAGAGATTAATAGACTGTAGTGTAGTTAGGCCTCAGTGGAAGTGTCTATGTAGGTTGATAGCAGGAAACATATCAAAAGACCTAAAACAATTTTACAGCCCCCTTTAAAGCCAGTCTGTGAAAATTATATATGAAAAGGTACCCTGATCCAGGTGTTCTGAAAGGTTAAACAGTAAGAGACTAGTCCATAAGAAATACTGTGGCTTCTGGGAACCAGTATAAGACATAAGAACAGTCTTGCGTGGGACACTTCGCTGGC